CTTTTAAATCCAGACTAAAGACTTTTCTTTTTGCCGCTGCTTTTAATTGATATATTCACATCTTAAACTGCACTATAACTTTTATTATCTTTGCTTTTTAATGACTGATTTTAAATGCCATTTTCTTAATGTCTTTCATTTTTTGAAGCACTTTAAATTGCCTTGTGTTGAAAGGTGCTATATAGATAAACTTGCCTTGCCTTGCCTTACAATAATATTGTTGCTTTTCTTTAAAACATGAAATAGTAAACGGAATATTTTCAACTAATGGTTGGATAAAACAAGCAATCTATCTATTGTCCCACATTGTTGAGACCAAACAATTAATTTATACTGAAAACAAGTGTCACTGTCTAAGCCTAAGAAGAAATGCAGTTACATATTGCTTGTGAAAAGGGGTTAGGGTTAGGGTTGTAAGTTTTTAAATAATAATTTAAAAAAAATGCATTTCAGAGGAGCTCTTCTTTTTAGGGATCATCAATATACAAACACTGTTCTCTTAAAAGTTTGTTTAAACATTAAAGACTAATCTGAACTGAAGATCTTTGAGATATCTTTGAGTCTGTTTGTCTGACCAACAGTAACGGTACCAAACCCAAATATATCAATGTTATTTTTAAATAGAACGTGCAAAATCAACAAATCCTTAAATGGTGGGAGCTAAAAAGAGACTTTTATGATTATAACAATCAAAATAATCGCAGATATTCTGTGTTTCAACTTGGATGGAAAATCAATTTGAGCTGAAATGTCAAGATACTTCCATAAAACGTTAATATTAAATGTGCACATTAAGGTTTTATCTTGTGTCTAGATCTATGGACATTAATTCACATCCTTTCAGTTGCACCACTTCCACCGTGTCAAGAGGACATTGTGTTTGTGTGTGTGAATACATGATTGCGTAGCTGCTGGAAGGAGGGGTGGAGTTTTTTTGGGTAAGTAATAGCTGAGGGCTTCTGGTCGTGACAAAGCACTTGACAGGCCGAGAAGCAACCCCCTAATTTCGGGTTGACCTTGGTTTGCTTAGCATACCTCATTGCTGCTGGTGACGGCGACACGTGTCTGGAGTTGGGTTGACTCTGGGAGCAGAAGGTGTGTTTGTGTGTGTGTGTGTGTGTGTGTGTGTGTGTGTGTGTGTGTGTGTGTGTGTGTTTGTGTGTTTGTGTGTGTGTGTGCAGATGGACGGACCGTTAGGGATGCAGGCCTTTATTCCCAAGAGGGGAGGCAGGGGTCAGGGATCAAAGCCCCAACTGACTCCCCACCCAGCGCTGTGTCTGGGGACGTACGGAGATTCAGAATGAAGCGCTTCTTATGCAGTTTGTGTAATGAAAGCAACGACAGGAAAGGCAGGGGTCTGTATGAGAGGTGGGCTGTTTGTGTGTGTGTTTTCATGGAGGGGAGTGTTGTGTGTGTTTTCTGTGCCAGGCTGTTGTAGCATGCAAAATGTGGAAGTGCAGCTGGCACGTGCCTGACACACACGTACACACACACCGCAGAGTCTAGAGAGGTCTTTTAATTAAGGGATTTGTTAATTTTCTATTCAACTTGACAGTGATGAATGGGGAGCCTCGGCTGCTCAGCAGACAGAGCTTCCTAGGAGGCCTCAGGGTGTGATCATCACACACAGCAAACGTATTCACACATGAAGATTGTTAACTCTTTAGTCTCTGCACTAACTGGAGCTGAACTAAAGCAACAACAATACTATATGTGACTCACTCTCTGTAGCAGCCAGATAGGAATGGGAAGTAAACAAAGAGAAACTGTTTGCCAGTGACGCCTTTTTGTTATATAAGCTTATCACAGACTCTTTCAAGTGCCTTTATATGCCATGTAGAGATGCATTAAGCAATGTATGACTTGAAACACCAGTATGTATTAGTTTAATATATTAAAAAAAACATTAGATACATACTTTCAAACAATATCTGGGCATTGTAATATAGTAAACATTACTCAAACAGTAAACAGTGTGTTTTGTTAGGGACTATTCCCAGCTATGCTTCTGATGTGCTTGCGGGTATTAACAGCAGCATGATCGTTTATGTGGGACGGCTTGAAAATCAACTAAAGCACATAAATCAGTAACCAACATGTTACCATGCCTACATGACTAACTAGATCATTTACCAGAATGTGATAACACAAGTGGCGTTTTAAAGACATGGTTAACGATGTTATGTTAAAATGACTCTTAATTCCCATAAGGCTATTATTTCAATGGGGAAGGCGTGTTCTTTATTATTATTTATGCACAACCATAGAGCTACATCAAATATAACACAATACTTTTTTTGCGCATTCATTACATTTTCTATAATAACAAACATATAGAATATCACTAGACTTATACTTTAGGTGGCGCTGCTCTATTTAAAGCACGTCATATCCTAAAGGGGATAGTACATATCTGAAATGCTTGTAGTACGCAGTAAGTTGGCAGTTTGTTAGATCAACGTATTCAACTAACTAACTATTGCAGCATTTATGCAATAAGTCCTCCTTCATGGAGGTTATAATGTTCAGAACTTTCTAATATTGCGTCCATTACTTTACATGTATATCAATAAGGGGAGGCTTAATAAAAGAAAAATCTTGCAGTGTAATGAAAAGAATAACAGCAGTCCAAGTTACACCCTCAAAAATGACCGTAAAGTTGTTTCAACACATCTCATAAACATTTGATTTAATGCAAGACTGTTGTGTTTGATCGCATATAGTTGTATCCAATAAACTGGCAACTGAGTATATGAACCTGCATGTTCTTAACTTTGGCCTCTAAATCTAAATTAATGTGTGTCTTGTTTTTTTGTGTATTTGACAGATTTTTGTCCTCTGCACTTTAGTTTCCTTATTACATTTTGGGTGATTTATTACTGAACTGTAAATACACTCAAACGGCACTCCCTAATCAGTGTTTTTTGTGTATTTGTTATCTTTATTGTGTCTTAAATCTTATGTTCTTACAAATTAAACTTGAATTGACTCCTATGTTGCAGCCAAATCCTCCTGTAGCTCAGCATCTGCCCTCCATCAAATGCTGGGAATCAGAATAAAGCTCTTAAATGTATAAGTGCATGTATTTCATATTCATTATCAATACTTTCTTTGTTGATGCCAAACATGTTTTGCATTAATAGTCAAATAGGCATCCTGAAGCAGCAGAGCCCCATCTCATATTGGCCCCAATGCAATTTATCTATTGTGATTTGGCGGCCATTCATCTTTTAAATGCTCTCTCATGATTTCCTTTGTGCAAGCAGAGCTGGAGGTGACCTTGGAAATGGACCATGTGGTGTATTCTGATGATAATGTATTCTTATATGCAGGAAACTGTCTCGCTAACATGATTTTTCTTCATGCTTTGTGCCATCTACTCTCGCTGGAAACTTTTAAAGTAGCTGCCAATGCATTTTGTATTTATAGGGAAATGCACATTTCAGATTTGATCATTATTTAATATAATATTCAATCATATTGCTACACTAAATGGGTGTCTTTCTTAAGCATTTATATGAATTGCCAATGCACACAAACATTGGCAAAAACATGCTTAACAAACACGCTATTAAAGAAACTGGTGTGAAAACATTGAATCTGAATGTAGGAAGATAAAACTATGGGTTTAAGTTATTGCATACATTTCCCTAAAACACAGGATATTTTAGACTCACTTTTATTCTATATTATATTCCTTTATTGATTTTTTGTTTTGGTCAATAGAAACCCCCACAGTGGTGGCATATTGGATCGTAGCTCACATTTTAAAATAAGAGAAACGCAAATGACATTTGACTTCCTTTAATATTTCACTTGAATATCTGCCAAAAATAGTAACATAGTCATTGTCCCGGCAGTCAGGTCAGTTGTCAAAACATTTTTTTGTGTGCCTGTCTTACTGAGCTTTAACTGACACACTCACACACACAGCACACTCTGTTTTAATGCATATTAATGAAGTTAAACGGCCTGCTGTAGGAGACAATGGAGCAGAGGAGGCTGGTTGTGAGCACAAAGCCGTGGACTCAGGGGAAGCAGAACAGGTGCAGGGAGGAAACGGCAGCTTCACGTGTAAACACCCTTTAAAGGTTCATCGGTGCAGGAAGGGATCTGCTAATGCGGGCAAACGCACAATAAGGATTTGTATTTTGTCTTTATGGTCTTTGTTTTGGTTTTACTGCAATTTGTGTTCTCCTGTTTTTGTTGATGAACTTGAGCGCTCTTCTTTGTTCCTTCATCCGTCCACCCTAAGTTATTTTATTTTAAAACTGTACGTAATTACAGGTTTATATATATAAAATATTTTCTTTAGGATGTAAGGAAACATTTAGTTTAAAGGCTCAATATGTAATGTCCAAAGACATAGGGGGCAGCATTGCTCATTTACTATGGGTCCAAAAACAACAATAACAGCAGGGCGAGAATACTAAACAATTAACCAAACAACTAGAACTCTGATAATAACGTTATCTTACAATATGTATGTGTGCCGTTTGCATGTTGTTTAGTTTTAGTCTTCTAAGGAAGTGTTATGGAGTTTTACACAACATAAGTGAAGGGCCTCTTTAAATAAGAACAAATGTATCAAATCTAATAAATAAAAAGACAGCTGTTTTCTTAAGCACTAAAAATCAATGTGTCAACACAGTTACGAGTTAACTAACACACAACAGGAATAATACAAAAAAAACATGTTGGTCAATTTCTTTCTATATTTTCCTTAAATGTAAAAAAGCCAAAAACCAACAATCTAATACATCGTTCTGAAAAGAAACACAAACAGGGATCATTCTCTTGCTACACAAAGAGATACTCTTTTCGTGGTAATAGTTACATCCTGGAAAGGAAACAGTTTTTTCCTCAGCTCAGTACCTCCCTGCTCTGAGGACCCTCCTATGGGACAGGAGAGATAATCAACTTGAACCAAACCCCGCCCACCTGTTTTATTCTGGGGGCTTTATCAGTGCCTACATGTTGCCTGCTCTGCATACTGGACCCAGAGAGAGAACACAGAAGATCTCCTCCACAGATTACCCATGCTGACAAACACACATATTCACCTCTGCGGACGTTAAACTCTGCAGCTCTGACACGATGGATTTTTTAGACAGTGGCTACCTGGACGCGCGCTCTCCGTATGATAACACCTTCAATTTCTGGAACGACTACCTCGGTCTGTCGACACTCGTGGCCAAAAATAAGCTCCCGTCCTTCAGACCCAACTCTATTACCGAGTCTCTTAAAGCGACGCTGGGCTTGGAGGATGATTCCCCGGTGTGCTCCTGCGTAATTGGGCACGGCAGGGACGGTGATGGACACTCGGAGTGCTGCTGCGCGGCCCCGAGCTCCCCGCCGATCTCCATCTACGATCTGAAGGAGCGCATCTCGCTGCTCAGGCCCTACGAGCAGCTTTCTGCTGATTCCCCGCTGGGAGACAGAGATTCTTCCTCTTACAGAGGGAGCTTCGCCGGCTTAGACCTTCTCTCCATGGAAAGGAGGCGCAAACAGACTCAGAGGTGCAAGCCAGAGCCGAAAGTGTGCGTCTTCTGTCGGAATAACGGCGCGCCGGAGGAGGTTTACGGCACCCATATTCTGAAGACAGCGGACGGGAGAGTGCTGTGCCCAATCCTCCGGGCGTACACATGCCCCCTCTGCAGTGCCAACGGCGACAATGCGCACACCATCAAGTACTGCCCGCTGTCCAGAGACCAGACGAGCCAGAGAGTGGCAAAGGGAGGCAGACTGCTGGGGAAACGGCTGAAGATCTTCTAAGCGAGGAGATGAAGTTTGAGAGTTTGCACTGTACATTGTGTGTGGCAGTTGTTTTGCCCCCATTTCATGCACAAGACAAGTCTGGAGTAAAATAATGATAGTTTTTTTCTATGTGTCAAAGCTTCATTATGTTTCTCTTGGGCACAGTTTATATTTGGATGCATTACGCCCAATATGTTTCCTCCCCTCCCAGCACTCTTTGGACTTTGTGATCAAAAATGAACCAAAGCACTGTACAGATCGACATGTGAATGCCCGCCTTCATGCTGTATTCAGAAGTTGCTGTGTTTCTAAAGAAGCACAGTGCCAGAGAAAACTGTCCTGTGCATGTCAGCAGGCTGCTCTGGGTTTATGATTCCAACATAAATGATGAATATGCAGCACTCCCGAGATGAATGTTCAGTCCCATATGGACATGCAAGATATACTTCTTTATATCGAGCACAGTTTCTTTCCTGAGATCAATGTTTTCTACCAAAGGAATACACTTTTGTATTGAAAGGTCATGTCATTGTTTATATGTTGGATGTCATTATGTGTTTTTATGTGGATAGTATTTTGCAGATTACAATTGAATGTAAAAACAAGTGGAAGGTAGATTGCTGGTTCACCAACAGTAGCTTGAGTTTACTGTTCAAAAACGAAATGTTTTTTTTATGCGGAAAAATATTCCTTTAATTCTTGTAAATGTTTTTAAAGGGGGTGAACAATTTGAGCAATTAGAAACCTGACATTCCAAAGTCTTTATCTGTCAATAGAAATCTTTTATGTACTTATTTTTACCTTATGTACCATTGGGAAATATATTCACTGTAAATGATTCTGAATAAACATGTCATTTGCATTTTCTTGGACTATTTGCGACTACAGCTGATTTTAATTTGCAACAGATCATGCTTTTCATCATGTAGGTGCAGCGGCATGAATTAATGTTATAGTCAAACATGACTGAATAAGCATACCCAGCTGTATTTGATCTGAAAACATATGAAATAGTCACACATTTGGTGCAAAGGCTCCACCTAGTGTTGAAACCTTAAATCACATTTACCTCTATTTAAAGAACTGCAACAATGTACATATATGTTAAAGCATGTCCCTCTACAAAAGCCTTTGGATGTCAAAACAAACTAAATCAATTAAGGAGCAAGTTTGACAATGAGATCAAATATATAAATAAATATATATGTCATATCTTAGTGTGGCAGGTGTTAAGATTTCAGTTTGGTATCAACCTGGCTAAGTGGTCTCACCTACTGGTATACTTATTTTTGTTTTGTTTTTAGGCTGGTACGCTCCAGGGGATGCAAGGACATTCTTCTTAAGTCTCAAACATATCATATTTTATTTCACAAAATTATTATTTCAATCAAAAAAGGTGTTGTCTGCCTCAGTTTCTCTGTATGTATGTCCTTCAGCAGGAGTAATAGAACAACTGTGGTCCAATATTTGTTAAACTAGTGGAAGGGCCTAGCATGGACGAACCCATTATGTTTTGAAGTGGATCTAAATCCCTTTCAATAACATTGCTAGATCAGGCATTGGTGCTGCATACATGTGCTTTAGGAATAATCTGAAACATGAGTACCCGACTGGGACTAGTTACACGATTGCCTACTAAAGAGACTTCAAAACAACACATCTTCAACATCAAGGTCTGGTTTATATGACTATAAGCACATTGACACACCAAAGTCAGAAAAATAACTTCCCAACTTCAGAAAAAGGAATCATCAGAGGAGCAAATGAAAACACCCCAAATGTTTTTAAGCCATCTTCCCTTTCCCAGGGTGGTAACAGTTCGAAATTAACATTTTAAACTAGGCCATTTCCCGCCAGAAATGTTTAATTATTTTTCTCTAGCTGTCAGTGGTGACAAGTCCTATAGATAATGTTCTAAAAATATTGGCTTTAAAGAGAGCAGGAATGTGTCATTGAGCAGGAATCTGAATCAATTTGTGTTTAACCAAATCAGCTGGCCGTACCTCTTACTAAGGATGATTTAAAGGCAGCTTCTGACTCATCTGGAGATGTCAGTCAGGAGGACAGTTTCTCTGTATCAGCAGGTCCAGATTCTTCCCACTCTCACTGTCAAGATACCAGTGACTGCATTTTAAATAGATCAAACAGAAATGTCTAAAGATAGTCTGGGAACAACATCAGTAAGGAGGTTTGCAAAGAAGTGACTGTTTAGACTACATTAGATCTGCATCAATAAGTCGACCAATTGGTTAGTCAATGTAGGAAACATTGTCATTTTCATGCTGTCAGAAAATACTGTTTTCAGTCCAAAAATAGATTTCCTGCTTTGCTCAGTTTTGTGTCATATTAAAGTGAATATTTTGGGGGGTTTTAAATAGCATTTTTCCCCTATATTCTAAGATTTTATACAATTAATGCAGAAAATATGATGAGAGGAGGTGATTAAAATGTTTGCAGAAAATATTTATTTTCAAAATATTTGTTAAGTTTTAACAATAATATAACAAAATAGAGCACCGTCTGTTTAATATGTAATTTATCGGAAATTGTTTTTAATATTTATGTATGTGGGATAATTCATTACCATCGTTCAGAAGAAGCAGTGGGCTCTTATCAACCGCATCCATTTATTTAAGTAACAGTGTGGTAGTTCATTGATTGTTTTCTATGACGTTAAAACCCTTAAGTGCCTGTCTGTTAAATTGTATGCCCCTTTACGCACTATATCGATTCTTTCTAAAAGGGTTGTGGAAAATATTTTGTTTCAAGTAATTATTTCAGTTTTGCCCCTGTTTTTTTTTCTCTTTTCGATGTGGATGCATTCATTGCTTGACAAAGGCGATTGAGAATGCATTGAGGGAATAAAGTTGAGTGAAATATGCCTATAGAGTGAAATTGATTGCAATGTCATTTTTAGGGCAGATTGAAAGCCACTCTGCTCTACCACATAAACTCTGCCGGCTGAGGCTGAGAGTGATTCTGAAAACCAACCTGTTCTCTCCTCACTGCAGCAGCCTGCTATTGGCCTGTTGGATGCTGACAGCGCTGATGTTTCTCTGTAGAGGAGGGGGGGGGGCAGCCTCACTCTATAAAAAGGCAGGGATCTGCAGCATCACTGAGCTGGTGCAGAGCAAAACGCCTGCTCATCCTCACTGATGGTGTGCAGAACAAGGGGGACATAAAAAAAACCTTCTGAAACTAAAAACATCCATATCCTTTTTCTTAAAAAACCAACAACAAAAAATTCATCATGAGCTACGATACCTTCTTCTCCTACCGCCGCCCTTGGGACAGCTACAAAGGCTCCCAATACACCACCAAATCCTCCATGTCTTCCTCTCTCTACTCCTCTCCTGGAGCTCCTGCGCCTGGGAAGAGGGTCCTGAGGCTGGCCTCCTCTTCCCTGCCAGACGCTTCTGAACGGATGGACATGGCTAAGGCTAGCTCCCTCAACTCAGAGCTGCTGGGCCTGCGGTCCCAGGAGAGGGAGCAGCTCGGGGACTTAAATGACCGCTTTGCCACCTACATCGACAAGGTGAGGCACCTCGAGCAGCAGAACCGAGCCCTGCTGGCCGAGCTGGAGGCGCTGAGGCGGCAGCAGAATGACCCGTCCCGTCTGCAGACGCTATATGAGGGGCAGGCGCGGAGCTTGAGGGCCACGATAGACTCGGAGAACGGGGAGAAGATGCGGATGGAGGCGGAGAGAGACTACCTGCGTGACGTGCACGAGCAGATGAAGGAACGATTTGAAGAGGAGGCGAGGCGGCGCATGGATGCTGAGGAGGCCCTGCAGAGGGCCAAGGACGACGCCAGCAGGGCCGTGCTCACCAACTGTGACGCCGAGGCCACTGTGGTCTCCCTGTGTGATGAGATAGTGTTCCTGAAGAAAGTGTTTGCAGAGGAGCACGAGGAGCTGCAGGCCCAGCTGCAGATGGCTAACATCAGCGTGGATGTGGAGGTGTCCCGGCCTGACCTCTCCACCGCCCTGCGAGACATCCGGGGTCAGTACGAGCGGCTGGCCAGCAAGAACATGCAGGCGGCCGAGGACTGGTACAAGAGCAAGTTCGCCAGCGTGGCGGAACTGGCAAGCAAAAACAACGAGGCCGTGCACGCCATCCGGGAGGAGACCATGGAGTACCGGAGGCTGCTGCAGTCCCGCTCCTGTGAGATTGAATCTCTGCGTACCTTCATCGAATCCCAACATAAACAGCTGGAGGATCTGGATGACACGCAGACCAAAGAGGTGTCAAAGTACCAGGTGAATGATGGAAAACAGGATTCCTGATCTGCATGAATATTCACCTAACAGGGGAATGTGCACTCATACGTGCTACCTGGTCAGGTATTCTGCCAGTTTGTGTCAAGAAAGGCTTCAGAAGTGCTTTCAGATGTCTTGGCATCAAGGTCGGACGCAGAGATGAGATAGAATAATATAAATCAGAATACAAGAGAACACTCATTCATGTTCAGAAAGTAGAGAAACATCAAAAGGAGCTATCCTTTCCTAAAGGTGTAAATGATTCTCTGCAGCAGCGTCATCCTCCCCATGCTTTAGAGCTCAGCAGGAGTTGATAGCAGACTTGCAGCAGAGGTGAACATCCGCAAGGTTACTGTCTGAACAAAAGGAAATGTAGCTTCACCAAAAAAAGAGATCAACGATTTCCAAGCACACACACACACACGAGCTCTTAAGGCAAACTGGTAACCGTGTCTAGTATCACTAACTGTGATATTTGATGATTAATGACTGTGTGTTTTTGTATTCATAGACGAGGATAAGTAAGTTGGAGCGGGATATCACCGACGCCAAGCAGGAGATGGTGTGCTACCTGAGAGATTACCAGGACCTTCTCAATGTGAAGATGGCCCTTGACATTGAAATAGCTGCATACAGGTGAGAGTTAAAGACCATGTATGTTTTATTTATAATATTACTCGACTGCAACATTCTTCAAGTTTTTCCTATTTTTCTCTTAATTTTCTGTTGAGAAAACAAAAAAAGAGGCAATTTGCAGTTTTTGCACGTATATAAATTTGACTGCATGAGGCCAGATGTTTATCACACATTTGTAATGTGTAAATATGCAGACAAATAGACAGCATACTGAAGGATTTTTTTTGTCTTTTCAGGAAACTTCTTGAGGGGGAGGAGATTCGTCTGACTTACCCTTCCCTTTCCGCCCTAAACTAAATGCCACCAGCCTGGCATCCACTTGAATACTTCACCCCTTTTTTTTGTGTTCTCCCCTCTACCACCTTT